AAAATGAAAATATGAGATATATATTTATGAAGTAATCTAGTATTTTATTTTTCAAAACTCGAACAAAGCAACTGAAACTTTCAAAATCTGACATCAATTGACATTCTGCGTTTGTTTTTTCTATTATTTCTTATCCGCAACAGTTGTTTATATCTTGTTTCATTTGGGATAACGGATCGAAGTATTGTCGGTACATTCCTATTTATTATTGATGGGATAATTGCATGTTTACTCAAAATTTTATCTAAATTGCGAGAGCGTCAAATTGACGCATATCCGTAGAGATAGGTATACCACAAAGAGAATTTCAATATTTCAACGCTTTTGAAGAAAATAGACTTCAATATATATTTACTTGGTTAAAAGGATCAATGGTTAAAAGTCATTACAAGAGATAAAANTTTTTTGCACTTTTTGAGGGCATTTTTTGCACTTTTTAAGGGCATTAGTTGAGATTTTTTAGATCATCAAAATCCGGGCTCTAGTAATTACCCTTTATTAAATATCTTTTCATCAAAAATTTTTCCTTAATGATAAGAAATAATGAAGTAAAGAAGGATTCTCTTTCAACAAATTTGAAACTAATACTGGAAAAGCTAAAAACCTGCTCTAAAAAGTAAAATTTTAAATGTTAGATGCCTTTTGTTTAAATGTCACTTAAATTTCCACATACATTCTCTGCTCTTCTTTGTTGATTCTCAGTAGCAGTTTTTTTGTCAGCTTTCAAACGATCCTTCAGAGAGATAAACATTTCACCGACATGCTTCAACAATTTCAAAAAGTTTCTATAATCCTATGATTAAAGTTTTAAATGATTTTACGAACGAAGAAAAAAAAAAAACAATCTCTCAGAAAATACCCCCTAGTGGCGTTAAAAGAATTAAGTTATTTTCACGGGATTAGAAGTAGGTAACAAATTCGGTTAAATGATGATGGATGTTGATGTCACTCTTTTTACGAACGCAGAATTGAACTTAATTTTTTTTTTCGTCGCGGTTTTTGAAAATTAGTTTGTAAATAGCGAGTTAATTAACCTTAAATTGGGTGAAAAAAGTTCGTCATAATTTGCTCGAACAAAACGTGTTTTTTTTTTCTTTCAAGAGCTATTATGTCCTTTCTTGTAAATTTAACTTTTTTCCTACATTTGTCGTCAGATTATTTAAAATTTATTCACAATTTTTTTTTTCAATTTCTAATTTATTACTTTTGTTTTTTTAGACAAATTTAGTAGCTGATAAAATCCGCTTAAAATTTTTAAAAGTGTTCAGAGGGTTAATTATAAGATTAAATTAATTATATTATAAAAATTAAGGATTGGAAATAAGCTTAATTGTCTGATTTTATTTTCAAAATATGAAATTTATGAATCATACTGACTAATAGTCCCGTTTCGAACAGTTTTTGAGCTCCCGCTTAACATTGAACCATAACATCAAACAATTTTGCTTGAATATTAATAAGGTGCGAAATTAAAACGTTTTTTCGTTTAAACTGAAGGGCAGCAAAAATATAGTTTGGTGTATTTTAATTATAAAAAAGTCTAATAGTTACTTTAAAAAATGTCAGATTCCCAGAATTATATTTGTACAAAAATATAAATCCAAAAAAAGAGTAGTTTGAAGAAAAAAAAATTAATTCCTATTCAAAAAATTTTTAATAATTGATTTTGTACATTAAAGAAATTTCAATCATGAATAACTGTTTATTGTTGATCGAAATAACTGCAAATTAGAAAAATTATGACTTGAAAGTTAAGATAAGTTGTTAAGTTATATAATGTTAAGATACTTTTACCTTTAACTCAGAGAAAGACATCGATATTTCTTGATGTATTTTCATAACCATAAATTATTAAAATGCCAAATATGATTTTTTTTTACTTATTTTGATTTAAATTAATACAAAAGTATGTAAAAAGTATGAAAACTATGTTAAATAAAAATTCTGCGTCAAAGGGTAGAATATGACCTGAAGAACTTTAATAATATAAAAAAAAACTTGTTATAACTACCAGGATATTTAATTAACTTTAAATATAAATATATATACAAACAATGGTAGAAAAAGACTTTTAACCTAAAGTAAAAGCAAATAAAAAAAGATTTTCAACTTCTTTACAGCAAAATCGAAGCAAGCACGGATCCTAATTTCGATACACAGTTCTAAACTTTTTCTTTTTTTACAATGATAGCAGTTGACAAGCAAAAAATGAATAAATCAGAAATTAAGATATGTCACCTTTTTTGATCCACGCTACTATAAATATTTTATACGCTTAGAATCGTAAATTAGGGGGTTGAAATTGATAACATGCTGAAACGTTAACTATGCTGAATTTGTTATATTGTTATTAATTTATGCTATATTTTTTAACTATGCTGAAATGTTAAATCAGAGTGTTTTTGAGCTTCTTTATTTTTTGTAACTTAAATCTTGCATAAGAGAATGCTAACCCCTGGGATGTCAACTGCTCCGTTTTCTGAAAAAGTATTATAACATTGGTAGCGAATTAAAACTTGTAAAATAAGGAAAAGATTTTTTTTTAAGTCTATCACTACAGTACAAATTCAAGAAAGTTTCATTTAATATCATATCTTGATATTTTAATGTATAGTGGTGAAAAAATTACATGAAATAAAAATATTAAGCTAAAGATAATTTTCAAATTTTGCTACCACTAAAAAATATTTTAACAAAAGGGAACAAGGCCTCGCTGTATTGCTCTCAAGCAGCTGTTGAAGAGCGGGCCTTCTCACTCTTTTGAAATCCTAAATAATCGGAACAAGTTTGCCTCGCTGTATTGCTCTCAAGCAGCTGTTGAAGAGCGGGCCTTCTCACTCTTTTGAAATCCTAAATAATCAAGCTCGCTCTTCGTTGTGCAGAACCTCCACTTTATAAATAAAGACAACTGTGAACATATTACCCTATAAAGGTAATAAGAAAATATTTAGTATGAGAATGGCATGTTTTTTCATCTTTTGATCATCAACGCCATGTTTTACGCCAGACTACTGATTTCGCAATGCTGGAGCTAAATCTATTCAAGTAATTAATTTGTGTTTGTGTATATACATAAGCAGAAAATGAATAAAACGAGCCAAGTTATGGTATTCATTGAAATGAAAACTAAAAATGGATTGAACATTAAAAATTCTTATTCTAGAAAGATATGTCTTTATTAACGAATTTAGTTATTTTCTTTTGATTTCAAAACCGCGATGGGGTACAATGTCCGCGATGGGGTACATTTCCGTTTTATTTTTTCAATGCTTTGTAGTTAAAAAAATTAAATTTTTTTTTAAATTCTCATTTTTTTCATTGCCATTTTTTAAACACTTTCACAAACTCACCCGGATTATTAATTAAGTGGCTGATTATTAATTGGATATAAATACTAATAGGATATAAATAAAATAAATTGGATCTATTTCGTGGAAGATCCCTGACTTTTTAACGTAACCCTAGGGTTCCAAAGGAACACTATTTCGGGATCGCTGTTCTTAAGTAAGATATTCGTCGGAATATTTTTTCCACTAATAACGAGACGAAGAAAATCAACTGAAATAATTATAACATTCATAATATTTCAATTATAACAAAAAATCATCATTATTTCAAATAATTTCATCACTTTATAAGTTAGTGTGCCCGAGTCTCGGGTGGACTTATTGCATCTATTAGATTTAAGAGGGCTTAAGTTGTTTCATTAATATATAAGGTCCTTAAAAGCTTTTTGATAATAACACTTAAAAGTTCTCGTATATTTCAACATCTGCCTTCTTGAATTCCAAGGGTGATCGTCTTTGCAACTTCATGACATTTGAAATGAACTTTCTATGGAAATGTTTTTAAGCGTAATTCAGTTGTCAAGCTCGAAGTTAAAAGCTGGCCCTGAGAGAGTTAACTTCAGAAAGAGCATTTAAACTGGAGCTTAGCGCACTTTTAATTATGCACTGAGTATAGTTTTTAGTATACGATGCATAAATAATATTAACTCTACTGTAAAATCAACCATACATTCTTCCTTCCTTAACTCTTCTGATATATAAACTTCCAAAATTTTTACAAATAAAATCTATTTTACGTTATTACTAATACACTAAACTTTACTATAATACTTTAGTACTTTATACTAAATACTTTATTTTGTCTTATAACCGTCGTTGAACAGCCGACTCATTTTTTGAGTTTCTTGTAATTTAGTAGTCTTGTAATTTTGAATCCAATCTCGAAGACAAGGAAACTTCTGGATTAAGTATTGGGAAAAAATTTGTCGAGATATTCCATAATGATTGTTTTAATATCACAAAAAATGTTGTGTTTCAGTAAAAGTAGTCGAGATTGATACCCTTAGAAAAAGTGACGTATCTTTGAATTTTTTTAAAAATATCTCTGGTTGAATGCCTGGTCTGTTTTAACAATTTTTCTGTTTCAATTTTTGACACTTAATATATAATTAATGTACTTGATACATTTGCTTTTTAAACATTAAAATCATTAGGAGATTTATAGAATAAGGTGATTTTTTACCTATTAGTGTTCATGGTCCTTTTTCAGGCTTTATAGTAAAAAAACATCGTTAGCTGAAGTTTAGTATTTTTAACATACACTCTTTTCTTATTTTTGTCTCATAAGATATGTTCAAACTTTATCACATTATCTAAAAGCTCTTCTATAAAGCCTCTATCGTCGTAAAAAATGACACTATTTAGCTATTACTATTCTTCGCTTCAAACATTTATTAGTAACTGTAAGGTAACGTTTTATCTGTCATTTGTCTACGTGAAAAATTAAGCAAAATGTCAATATGAAGAAAAGTTATAATTAGGGAGCAATTTAAAGCATTTGAAATCTAACATTATAATGTTTGAAAAGATAAAATATGCTTAATCTTTAGAACTAGACTAAAATATAAAAAATATAAAATTATTCTTTGATTTTAATAATTTTCTTTTTTATATAAAGGTATATCGTGATAATAAGTTTTTCTTTTTTTCTAGTAGCAATCAAGGCAGCCGAAAAAGCTCTGTATCCTCCCCATCTCGTAGACCTGTACGCTTGAAAAACATTATCTCTGGACATGAGTCTATAGAAACCTTATTCTTAAAATCAACTGAGGTAAGATCATTTTTTCAAATCTAATTTCATTTTATTTTATTTCCATTACCGGCATTGAAAAACTGACCCAATTTGGAGTTTAAAACTATCAATGTTCAACTTTGTAAGTTTGTACTGATGTAAGTTTGTACAGAACTCCTGGAGCAAGCATTAGTACAAACCAACCTTCTTAGAGGATTTTTTATTTGACTTAATCTACATTTGCGTCAGTTAAAACCACGATTGCCTTCCACGGTTAGCCCAACCTTAATGGGTTTCATAAATCGTAATTTAGACAGCGAGAATTAATTTGTGAAAAAAAATTTCACTGAAATTGCGTTAACAACCAGCTGAGTATGTACTGGCCCTTTCCTCTATGAGGCAGTACTATAGACGTTGTTAAAGTACTTGATATTCTTGAGTTGAATACACGAATCCGAAGCATTCGATACAAAGACTCTCTTCTCCTCGATTTTGAAGCAAGGCTCAATGTAAGAAATGAAAACTATTTTTAATTTTACACTATTTATTTGAACTCGGTTAATTAAAAAAAAACAGTCATATATACATGTAAAAACAGTTAAACGCCATATAACTGACTAACTAAAATAAAATTCCATGTTGACTCGTTAAAGTTGATAAGGCATCATGTGCCTTTGCTTTATAAAAAAATAAATGTCATATATATATGACATTTATTTTTTAGCATATAGTATCTTTACATGAGCTGGCATATATCATTAGCTGAAGTATACTTCAGCTTAATGTTGGGGAGAAGGGGGATAGTGTGGACAAAGAACCTCTATATACAAATAGAATATTTCTACACGAATTATGGCATGCATATATATAGATATATATATATTCAAATCCCGTCAAATATACAAAAATATATATTTTTGTTTATATTATACAATTTATAGGTGTATGTTATATCAGGTGGTAGCAAAAGTTCATGTCTGATTTGAAATCTTACACTTTTTTGTTAAAAAGTGTAATTTGATCATCACTATATATTATATATATATTTTATACATCGTTTTTTACACTAGGACACATTATGTTGGGGTTTAACCATTTCGATTCAGTGTAGCCAGTCTGGCACCACTTATTCAACAAATGTTACAAATTTAATGAACAAATCCTTTAAACATGCCTCCACAAAGCCCGCTACATGTTTCTAGCTAGAGCCCCTGAATTAAAAGGGCCGACTTATCATTTACTGTTGGAGCAAAGAGCTAACATAAGCAGTGCGAATAAATATTTTCAAGTGGTAGTTTATTAATTGTAATTCTTGGTTTAATAAGTTCGATTTAGTAGATTTTATTCCACCACTATTTCTAAACTATGCGTAGGCTTATATTATTCACCACTTTATAGCACTTGTAACATGCTTTACATTTTTAAAAGCAAGCAAATATTGTCGACTATTTGCAAAATTTACTTTGTAATTATTTACCGTTTTTTAAATTATTTTGGCGTGTCCGGTGCAGTTGGCATCTCTGTAATAACATGACTAATACTAACATAACGTTAACATACTTGCCAACTTTTACGCAGTTGGCGTAAAATTTTATTTCTATATTTAAAGTGGTAGAAAAATGTATGCTTTCTATATATTCCTCTCATTTAGAAACTTAATTTATAATATTTTTGATTCACCACTATTTTTAAAAAAATTAAGCATATATATTAGAATGCAATACTTAAATAATTATCCACATAAGCTTGTTTAAAATACAACGAATGTTTCTGCCTAAAATTGTATTTAAAATTTCATTTTTCTACCACTGGGGAAAATCATCCTTAAAGGGAATAAAAGTTGGCAGATATGCGTTAACTTGCGAACTTGTTTGCTCCAATATTGCTTGATAGGTCAGCTCTGATAGTATAGGAGCCTTATTTCTAGCCAACATCTTCGACAACTTCTATCGTCATTATCGCAGTTGCCAACGGGCACTATCTCAAATGAAGGAGAGAGGTGTCCACTTTGCGACCGTAATCTGCTTAATTTTTTAGTAATTTTCGCTGTCAGTAATTTTTTCACTACTACATATCAAAACTTCGAAATATTATATGAAATGTAACTTTCTTGTAGTTCTCCCGGGATGACCATTTTTAAAAAGTATGCGCAATTATCCTTAGTCAACAAGCTTTACTATTAAATCCGCAACCTATTTATCAAAACTTTTGCAGAAAGAGGAGCAGTTGGCATCCCTGTTTTAAACAACAAGGAGTTAAAGTGTGCCATTTCACTTCAAAAATAGTCTAAGGTGACATTTCATTGATGGTCAGTTGGACTAAAATTTTCAATTGAAATTTTCTGCTCCAAAAAGAGCTAGGGAGTAACGTTTGTAACTGTTCCAAAAAGAGCTAAGAAGTAATGTTTGTAACTACGAAAAAAATCTGTAAAAGTAAAGTGAGCTGCTACAGATTTACAGAGGATTATGGATTTTCTCCGTAGTTTCAGAAAATATTTTCCCAGTGGGAGCAAAGGGTAATATAATTATATTTTAACAAATTAGAATTAATATAATTTTGTCCACCACTAAACCTAAATAATTTTAAGCGATAAATATAAGATTAAATAAATAAATGCTTAAGTTCCTCCGTTTTAATAATTTTCTTAAAGAAATTCGTTTGTTTAAAAAAATTCGCCATAATCTCAAATAGTTGGAATCTCCATATTTAATTCCACAAAATAGAATTGACGATAGTTTCATTATTCATGTGATTTTATTTCAAGAAATTAAAATTATACTCAAAATCATTTCCTCTAATCATTCTTCCTCTAATTTTAAAATCAAAAATAAAATTTCAAAAACCTTCATTTTTTTAAAATTTACGGATACTACTAAACTGTTATTTTAAAAGCTTTTTCTTTTGTTAAAAGAACAAAACATTCTCAAATCCCTTCTTCCCGCAAGGATTCTCGTCTTAAATTACTTTTCAATTTTGTTCGATTCTTCGCTTTATAAAGCCATACGAAAAGCAGTTTTGATTGCAAGAAAAGACCAACTCCTTTCCTCAGGCTTTACAAGAAATATAAAAGTAAATAAGTAAAGCAGACGAAAGCTCTTAAAAGCAATTTCAAAAAGATCGAGTTAAGAATGCAAAAACGAATATTTAAACTCCATTTTTACTCCACTTCATTAAATGCACGATTTATCTTCTTTTTTTTTCTGAAATGGAATATTTTTGAATGTGTTCGTGGCGATAAATACTCTTTTTTATCAACCGAATTTTATTCTTATTAGTGAACTTATTGGTAAATAAAACGAGAATGATATTCGGCAGCATTTTAGTTTTTAAAAATACTTAACTCCGCGGTGGCCTTGGCTGATAATAAGGAAAATTATTATGAAGTTACAGTAAATTTACGAGAATGTATTTTTAATTTAGCTAAAGTGAAATTCTGAGATAAAACTTTTGTTAAACTATTTGCGATTCTATAACATACATAAGTAAATGCCTTAAAATAAGAGATCTTTTTGTTAATGACGTACCAACGACTCCGGTTTTTTACAGATAGTCCGATCTGATCACTATGAGGTTGAACCAATACACAAAAGAGCCATTTAATACAAAATCTAGTAAAATTAAGAAAGTGGTAGTAAATATATCTCTTAAAATTTGTTTAATTTATGGTTTGTCTTATTTACTTGTCAACCACCACAAATTCAATTCTCAAATATGTAAGATAAACTTCTCCCAATTGCTTTAAAAAAACAATTTGGATAAATGCGCACAGTTGGATCACTTTTTAATTAGTCAGCGCAGACTACTTATAAAAAACCGTGCGGAGGCTTTGTGATGTAGCAGGCAATTATCATAAAATAAAAAGAGACATTCGTGGCCAGTATCACAGAAATGGAAATTCTCAGAAATAGAAAAGAATATCTTTTTGAATATTTAACACAAAATTTTGAATTTCTTGTTGTGGTTAATGCTCATCTTTTGATATTTTTGTAATAAATCTATCCCCAAATCTGAAAAGTTACGTTTTTCACTCATAAAAATTCTGTTCACTCAATTTCCTTTTATATTTTATAACCGTTGAACAGCTGATCTAATTTTGAGTTTGACTTCATTTTTCGACTCCGTAGCCTTGCATAATTTAAAACCCAATCCAGAAAACACTCCTTAATCAAGTATTGGGGGAAATTCGCCTTCATTGAAACTAACCTGCATTTGCGTTAAATGAAGAGGTAAACCACGAAAACCTCGAACGGTAAGCCAGGCGGCAAGGGGATCCTAACCTATGATCCATTGAGGATATTTTTCGTCAGCACTGTGGTCGGTGCGTGCCTGATGCGGAATTTGTATTGACCAGTCATCGCTGGGATTCAAACCCGATTTACCGGATAGAGCACCCGAGAGGCGAGTGCTCTATCCCCTGAGCCACCACTGCTCCTTACTGGGTTAATTTTCAATATCTTATTATTATAGGTTATGTTTATAATTAGTTATGTTCTTAATACCTAACTCATATAGGAAAAAATTAATAGCTGCCACCAAACACAAGGCTACTAAATACGACAACAAATGACTATTAAAAAATTGTCGACAGATCACAACGTGTTTCATCAGAAATATTTATTATTATAGTTTTTTTAATATGTATGGAATTATCATGAATATTTTATAATTCTCTGAAAATTACCTATTTCTTTAAATGTTCTTTAGAAATGAATTTTCTAATGAACATTAATATCAATAGTTTTTTTAATGATTTAAAATTTTCAGTTTTTGGAAAAGCTATAACTGTTAACGGCTGGTCAGCAACAATAGTTTTTCCTTATACTAAATAATCGACTAATAAATAGAATGTATTTCAAAATAGACTATTTTCATTTAAATAGTGTTTAGAATAGTTTACTTAAACTTGTGTGCACACTTTAAGGATCGATGATTTCTAAATAATCATTTCTAAGTTATCGTTTTTAAACCTCATATATTGTGCGGAAAAAAAATACAACAAAATATTAAATTATTTAAAAATACTTTATTAACGAAATAAC